TGGCTCCGTGTAGCCTTTCTCTACGATCTCCCATGCATCTTGCGACCCGAGCAAAGCCTTCATCCTTATGCTCCAATTGTCGTAGTTATCCTTGTTGAGTTGAGGGACTTGAAAAGGAATCATCCCACTTGCCATTTTTCACAAGGGCCTTAGGGCTCTGATACCAGTTTGTTGGAGCAAAGAGAGGTTTACTAACTTGGTTTGGCTAAGGTTTGATAGGAAGGACAATACTGATAGGAAGAAGTAAGTAAAATATAACTTATATTTCTCAACTTTAAGACTTACACACTTGACTTAACTTATTACAAAATAGATGGACTTTACCCCTTTCTATAGGGTTTACATGAAGTTTCTAGACCACACATTTCCTAGAGTCTTCTAGTCTTCATATTTTCATGAGGATTCTAGACCACATATTTGGACTAGATATTTTCCTAGAATATTCTAGATAGAATTTCTAGAACCACATAATCCACTTGACACATTACCATATTAATGACCACATCTTTTACTTAGATATTTANTCTATTACTTAGATTTTTACATGGGTCTTTCTAGAATATAATTCTAGAAAATGCTAGACTTTGTTGGGCCTTTGAATTGGGCCTATGAGCAAAATTCTTAAACTCATATTACTTACTCCAAAATCAAGTTTACTTTCCAACACAGATAATTGGATGTCATCGTTATCTGGGCCTTCTTTTTCTGACTCTTGTGGATCACCAATCGAAAACATCGATTCATTTTTTGCCAAGTCTGAATTCACTTGAACAGAATCAGAGGGCATAGGATCTTGATATTGATCGAGCAGATTCATTCTACAATCCTTGATGCCATCTTCAAAAACTAATCCCCTGCGATCAGCAAATCCATCGCAAAGAAGATTTTTGCTCCATCTCATCCACTTAGCCATCACCGCCAGTTATTCTTCCTTTCCAGTCTAATCCACTTCCCAAAGACCGGCTCTTTTTCATGGAAAGTCTTCTGAACTGTAATATCACAGTCAGTATTAGATTTTCTCTCTATTTCCTCAGATCTACAGTCACGCTCAGTAGGAGAGGAACCTGTTGCACGATCAGCAGTATTAATGAGTATGTATGCCTTTTCCTTCAAATATGATGGATGTATTTCACTGTTGAACAAGATAAACTTGTCGATGACTGATTTTGAAAAGTTTTTTTTCACTGTCTTCTGCATGGCTTTAGCAGATAGATAAACTGATTTCTGATTAGGATCGACATGAACCAAATTAACAATAGCAATTAAATGATAAAAAAAAAAAAAAGCAATTAAATTACAAGGACCTAATAGAAAGATGATCCACTGACCTTCTGCTTGTAAGAGTGGACGTGTGAATGAAAGCATTAAAATCTAACCAGCCTTACAAAAAACTAATAATGACTCACATCAGGTCTACCAACTTTATTTTTTATCCAAGGATCTTGAAATTGAAATATTTATTAAAACAGACTCCGTAACTACAAATATGAAATCACATGCTGCACCACGATTCCTGAGACTTAATCAAGACTGTCCTTAGCCATAGATAGTTAAAGGATAAACCCTCCGAAACACGGTACAATCTCCAAATCTGTAATGATCTTGATCCCCTTAAAACTCATAATAATATCACCCTCCAGTTATCGCCCCACACCTACTTAGAGGTGCGAGATAACTTCTCCCTCTCAGAAGCTGCCAGACTGAAAGAAAATCTTCGGCGATGATAAGAGCCCAAGCCCAATTATGCAAAAAAGAGACAACTGCCTATAGGTATAATAAACCAAGGAGACTAGATCAGTGGACAGGAAAAAGTAAAGCTTTTATTTCTAGCAAAAAATTCTGTTCATCCAAATGTAAATTGTGCATCTTTACCATCAAATTATGATACAGGAAAAGTGGATCAGCTATTAATTACTTGATACAAATTCCATTATTTATTAATTGTTCAAAAAAACATGGGGATCACTTCAGCATCCCCCATCATGTACAAAACCTTTAAATCATAAACATTAAGATTTCAAAGTTTTCTTTTATTATATTCTATAATGACATAACTTATTGAGATATTTTAATTTTCAACATATCAGGTACTTGAACCTCTTATGGAGTTTTATAATTTGTTATGTCTATGCACTTTCTAAAAGTATATGCCTCCCAAATAGGATCATCTTTGCTAATTGCTCCATTTTCTTTTAAATATTTTTATATTAGAATCGAATATCATCACTGTTCAAGCGTGCTATAAATGTATCAAATATTATATTAAATAATTGTCTTCCAAAACGTTAATTCGAGTTGGAGCATCTAAAAGTGGTGTGTGTGATATTATTGATATCTTTGGTCACTAAATGCATCTAAATGAATTATTTTTTGAACTTCTGGTTCAAATTATATTTTGCGAGAATTTAGATAATAATGTATTTGTACATTATTTTCAGCTTCTTAATCCCCTCATAATGTTGAGAGAATGTATAATCAAATTGAAAATCAGCAAACCTCCTTATAAAAATATCACCCCATTAAAACTTGAGATATTGTATAAGGGTTCAAATTAAACTTGTATTCTCAGTCTTCTTTAATCATTACAACATATCAATTTATCTATAATTTGCAAAGAATGCTATCTATCATGTTCTATAGCATTTTCTAGAATGCTAATGTATGTGATGTTATTAAAAGTCATACATCTATTATAACATTTTTAATGCTATTATAAAGCGCTATAAAAAAAACTTTATAATAGAATTTTGTTATCGTTATGATTTTAGTATTTTTAGCATTCTTTTTGTGCAATCTTCTTTAATGTGATAAAAAATTTTCCCGTTATAATTTTGGCCTTAATAACATTTTTAATCGTCGTGATTACATATTCAATAGCATTCTTTTTTCATCATAATTTTTTAATATTTATAGCATCTATTGAATATGATGTATCGTTTTCAATAGCATTTTTTGTTGTAATGTATAAGTAATAAATAACATTAATCCTAATTCATTAATAGTCAAATGTGAATATCAAGAGCAATATTTTTTTGGAATAAAAGTACGAACACAATAATCAGGTCAATAACAAATTCCAAAACAAATATCAATACTATCTTGTACAAATACACAAGTATACTTGTTCAATAAAGAAATCTAATTATATTTCGTCTTCATATCAAATACTAATAGCAATATATGTTTGAAAATGAAATAAATAAAATTAAACCAATGATCCATTTAAATCTGAATCCTTCTAAAGAAAATTTCTTGAATCCTTGCAACTTGTTTAGAGAAGACATCCATCAAACCAATGATGCATTTAAATCTGAAAATTGACAAAGTTATACAAATTATTAGATTGTAAAAAAATATATATAGTAAAAAATTCAAAAATTTTAATTTATGCAATCTACAGAAAAATTACTCAGGTCATTGAGAGAATAGACTTAGGCAAGTTATCTGTGCTATGTATATATATATATATCACAAAATCACTAACTTTTTTAGACAAAAGAAACAAATTATTTCAATTTGAAATTGTAAATGTTAAATCATATTTAGACCACCATTTGAAAGCATTCGAAATGTCTATTCTAACATATGTATGCATTGAAGCCAGCACATGTATGGGTTAACATTAATATAGAATTTACCTGATCTTAATCTCTTGAACATTTTTATCCGAGATGGAGTACAACTTCGTATAATTTTTCCAATCAAACACCTTGTTTATGCTGACACAAGAAGAAAACATACATATATCAACAAATTGCAACACTCTTGTGACGACAGTGTGGATTTTTAAGATTGATGGAAAATATTATTTTATTGAAGAATGTGTGGTTAAAAATGAGTAGAAGAATGAGAATGAAAATAAGAATGTGGCTCAAACATGAGCTTAGTAATTAAACTTCTGGTTCAATAAAATGTTTGTCATTTGCATAACTATTTAATCAAACAAAAGATATAGTTAATTATCAAAAATATAATTAACTATGATATAATCATATAAGAATCAATATTCACATGACATAAGCTATATATTTTCTTTCAGAGATAAATACAAATTTATAAATTACACATGATATATTTTTTGAGACACGTGCTACTTCAAGAGTACTTTGTATTTCACTATTGCTTTTTCAAAATCAATGTGTCATATTCTTTTGGAATATTGAAATTTTAATGTCATGCTCTTCAGGAGCAATAATATATTATTATGATTTTCGTGAGCCATTTATATTCTTTTAAGATATTAATAATATTGTGCTTCAAGAAAATATTTTTTTGTAAATATTAACTCTTCAAGAGTATGTTTTCTAACAGAATGTTATATTTGCAGAGTTTTGCTTCTTTAGGAGTAACATGATAAATTATCAATTTAAAATTTATAAAAAAAAATATATATCTACAAAAATTTAAGGACACAAAAATATTTAATAATCATCATAAATGTATATATTTTACAAAAAATAAATAAAAATAATGCAAAGAACATGCATGAGACCAATATAAAAAGGGATAATTATTACTTCAATTAACCATAATAAAAAATTATTATAATATAATTAATTGGGAGGCTTTAGTTAAAAATATACATATGCATACAGATGAAAAGAATACAATGGTACGAAGAAGCAGATGCTTTAGTTAATTGTCTTTTGCGAACAATTAAGATAGACATGCATAGGAAATTAGGATTTGCAGAGAAGCAGAAAAGCATACAATGAGGCTTTAGTTAATTGGGATATGCATACACACACGATATGCATTGGAAATTGATGTGTATGTAGCAACGAAGAAATAATGCGTATAATTTGAGATTAGATATAGATTACCTTCAACTAATTTGCTATAATTCTTTTAGAGAATCATGATCACCACAACAAAAATAGTTATTTGCAAAAAAGACAATATTTGTTGATAAATGTTGTTAAAATGGTCCTTTGACAACATTTTAGTAAGTAGATGTTGCAATTGGTTAATATAAATGAGTTTTGGCAACGTTTTTTAGAAAAATGTTGTGACAGACCCCTTTTTACAACATTTATTGAGTGTTGCGGAAAATTTTATTTTTCCCATCGTTTATCAAATGTTGCGAAAAGTCTACTTTTACAATGTTTATCAAACGTTGCAAAAAGTGAGATGTCTCACTTCAAACGTTGCAGGCGACCTCAACCATGGCACCAATTTACCCCAAACATCATCTCAAGAACCTCAATTTATTCCAGAAATTTTGTCCGTCGCGAAGTTCTCGAAGCTGGATCCGAATAATCAAAATTCCAACGCCATCCGGTTGACCCATGGTCGTGAACCACATGAGTTATCTTCCTCCCCACCTGGCTCACCTTGCCCAACCATGGGTCAAGTCCAATTTTGCCCAGAACGCGATGAATTCATGGTTGCAGTTAGGGCTCTGTGCGAAAAATCTGGAATGAAAGTCTCTGATGATTGCATTTCTTCAGGTGATAAGGCACCACTTATTTAGATACTTTGAAAAAATGAGTTTCTCTGGTTGGTATGATTTGATGGCAATCACTTGTCCCCAATGCAGTTCACTTTAGGCGCAGATGGGAAGAACTAGTACCAGGAACTTTACCATTCTTGATTCTTGCACTGCATTTTCTTTCAGTACTCGTAAAATTTCTGTTTGTTCTTCGGTTTTTTGAGGTGATTTTCTATATTTTTGCATGAAGGTGGCAAGAAAGCTTGATCTAGTTTATGGGGAGGAAGTATAGGATTAATGGGCTTAGTTTCTCAAGCCGTTAATAATGGAGGAGGACACGTTCTTGGGTATCTCTATCAGTTTTAGCAACTTATTATTACATAAACATCCTTTATTTGCATCAATCCTTTTTATTTTCTGAACCTGGTTTTACTTATTTCATAACAGAATCATACCAATACCGCTTGACGTGTTTGGCTTCATATCACATTATCAATGTAAGTCATTTTGGTGAAAATTGGCAAGAGAGTTGTATTTAAAAATAATATTCACAATAAAGTTCTTTGCAGTAGCTGGAAACACCCTGGAAAGGGGCTCCATTATCCGGGCTTCAGTTCTTGATGTTTCCAAGATTGAGCGCCTTGTGGATTTATCTTTAAAACTAGAGTTTATTGATAAATCAAAAGGAGAGAGATCTACTGTGCTTACTCACAAAAAGGTTAGTTTTAACACCTACTGCATCAAGTGGGTCTCTTTTCTCTTTTGCCATGTCTCCTTTGGCATAGCTTCTGTATTATTATTCTTTAAGAGCAATTAGTCTTTTTTTCTATTTGTTTGTCTCGTGAGGTGTTGTAGGTTCTAGATGGTTCTGTGCTCTTAAGATTGTGGATTCTGAAGCCCAGCTTCCCTTTCCCTTGTGTTTACATTTCTGGATCTCAGTAAGCCATCTCCCTATTCTTGTTGTAATCATCCTTGTTTTTTATTTGTTCTTTCTCGGTTAGATGCATATATTTGGGTGAATCCTTTGTAACCCGATTTTCAGGGGAAAAGAAAATTATGACTGATAAATCCATTAGTATTCTAAATGGTGTACCGTCACATCTTCAATCCTTGCTGATGAGGCAGCCCTATAGAGCATAAATGATATTTTCTTGTCTACTATCTTTCATGTTCCAAGAAGTCTCTTGCTGTCCTCTTTGATTTGCTCTTCAATTTTTATAATGGTCTTTTGATGTTAGGCCATTCTGATGCTAGCCTTTGTTAGTGATGCCTGAAACGTTTTTGCCAATGGCATTTTTTCTTTCCTCAATTTGTTTATATGGATTCCTTTAAATTGATTTTCTCATCTTCCTAGAGACCCAAGGCTCTTTTGCTTTCCCCGCCCAACATAAAATTGGACTCCAAAGTTGTAGATACTGGACTGTGCAATGTCGAGGTGAAAAGTTACTGCGAAAGTCCAGTGATTGCCTTCAGCCTCTTTCCTTGTAAAAATGCATTTAAGTTCCCCCTTCACTTCTAGATTTCTATACTAGCTTCTATTTCCTTTATCCAAGAACTTAAATTTTATGTTACTTTTGGTGCATGTCCTAAGTTTATTTTTTACGTACTCTACAAATAGTAGTTAGAAACTAGTATACAAGTCATGGACCAAAAAATGGCGAGAAACATCTGTCCGTAAAGAAGCCAATTAATGTAAATTCATCATCTCATGGTCTAGAGGGAATCAACTTTTTGGAAGTTCTTATATTTGTTTTGCCACTATGATAAGAAATCTACGTGAATTTTATAGAGTATTTTGTATTATTTCTATATTTTCAATTCTACATTGTTTGTGAAGATTGATCTGCTGCCCTGCCTACATGAAATTAATCTTGTGTTCTCAAAACATCCAGTCCCGTGGAAAGGTTCTAGTTATTTCATTTCTACTTTGTTTCTGACTTGTTTTTTACATAATTTTTTATAGACTCAGTGGCGGATCCTGTTATGGATTTGGATCAATATACTATTCTTTTGCGAAATACTAACTCCAAACATTTTTCCATCCAGCATTTCACTAAGCAGATCTTCTTTTGGTGGATGGTGTTTAAGAATTCCCAATGCGCAGTTTGATTCTCAACATTTGCACTGGGGTTGTCATTTGTTTCAGAATGCTCAATGGATCTTCTGGCCGTGGTACATGGTTGAGCTGGGGCAAAGCTCTTCGAGACGAGCCACTGGAACACCAATAAAGATTTTATTGGCAGAAGAAATGTGAAAAGAAACTGATGTTAAAAGAATCTCGTCAAGTGTTATTGCCAGAGTATTCCATTAGTGATAAAAAGTGGCTAATGCAAGTTCTTTTAAATGTAGTGGGAATGCTGTGAAGTTCTCAGGGTAGCATTTTCATATCTGCTGTTGTTTGTCCAAAATTTTATTCCTAATTTTATTTGATTTTGAAACTCATTTTTATTTAGGTGATGTTGTATTACATTTTAATGTTCAAGTGTATGGATTCAAAAATTTGTAATGAAATTATCAATTTTTATGCAATATTTTTTTAAACGTTGCCGTAGGTCTTTTCTGTATCTTCCTACTTTACGACAACACCTCAATTTGCAACATACGTCCAAACGTTGCAATAGGCTTACGGCAACATTTTTTGAACGTTGCCGTATGTTGTTTTTGTTGTAGTGGATGATAACGTACTATAAAATAAAGAGAAGAAAGAAGAAAATAGAAAAGTCAATAGACTTTTGTATTTTATTGATAATCGAAATCCCATATTTATATGAAAGAATTAGGGATACAAGTGTAATAAAAACTAGAGTTGCGGGATATAATTGTCATTTACTAATAATCATATTATTTACAATATTGAGGCTTTGTTAAACCTCAATATCATTAATTGGACGATTTCTTGAAGGACTAATGGCGCACATAAAACCTAAGGTTGGGATTCTTGGTACCAAAAATAGTAGAATACGGACAATATTGCAACGAATTCCATACGTTGGGGGCTATATCACAATTTCCTACTTTATATTACTATTTACAGACAAGTAAATTTAATCAATGCTCACTCAACTTTAGTTCACATTACTACTTACTCACTGAATAATAAAACATAACCCATTGTTCACTTATCTATCCAAATACTTACCCGTTCATCACCCATCTTATTTTCGTTATCCTAAACGAACGAAATGTGACACGTGGTAGATGAAAAATCCCACGTGGCACATAAATAGAATGAACTATATAGGTACGTTTTGCAACTTATTCCATCATTGCCTACTCTTCAATTGCAATTTTTGTTTTGTTTCTTTTTGCGCTCCAAATCCTCCCTTCATTTCCTTATAATGGTACCCTTTAATTATTTTATTTCCTCCGCTTACTACACTCGAATTATCCTCTTTCACCTTTTCTTCTCATAGCTAAAATGAATAATTTGAGTCAAATTCTAAGAGCATGCAATATTGTACCTTCACTCAATTCGATCCCCTGGCTAATTTCATTCTAACGATAGCATTACGCGTTTGTTCAAGCATTTTGCGCATACAATCCCTTGGCTAACTTCCTGAAATAAAAATTATCCATCATAAATTATACTATTTCTAGAATTCTTTTTCTATTTTTTGTGCACTGTTTATTCTTAATCATAAATAATATAAAATATGTATGACGGGTTTCTCTCTTAACAATACACCAAAAAAGAAAAAGAAAAAAAAGAGGTCTAAAGATGAGTATATAAAGATTGTTATCATGCTTGGCTTAAGTTCTGTATAACTCAGTTTCCACAGGGTATTAAAGGATAGACCTATTTACTAATGACTTTTTTGTTACTAAAACAAGTTGGTGCAGATTCTGGTTAAACATACAAACACTAATGGAAGGAAATAAGCAAGTTCGTCATCGCCCTTGTGGCTCAGACATCGTCAACTCATTGAAGATCGAATCTGGTTTTTTAGAGGACGAGGACGATGCAGTAAAAACACGTTTTTTTTTCCATCACAAAAGCTGGTTGATTAGGTACTGGAAATCTGGAAGAACTGTCGTTTCGCCACTAAGCATCAAAACTACATCCGACATGGTAGTGCGATCAATGGGATCTTCTTCCACACACAACAGCCCAACATTTATGCACTGACAACTTCAGAATATTTTAGACAGTGAATTGGCTAAAAAGTTTCATATAAATGGAGGAAAAAGCTTTGGACTCGATTACAATTTAGCTTACCCTATCATCCTCAAACAGAGGTAGTAAATCAGAGTTTGGGAAATTTACTAAGAAGCCTTGTTGGAAAAATATTAGGTAGTGGGATTTGCTTTCAGCACAAGCTGAATTTGCGTATAATCGATCTGCTAGTGAAACTATTGGGTATAGTCCATTTGAAGTTGTTTATGGGAAAATCCTATTAGTCCATTGGATTTGGTACCACTTTCGGTCAATAATCGTTTTAGCGAAGATGCTGAAGCAAGGGTCAGGCAGATCAAGGAATTACATGAATAGGTCAAGGAGAGAATTCTCAGGCAAAATGGGAAATATAAAAAACAAGTCAATATGCACAGGATACCAGCAAAATTTAATGAAGGTGATTTAGTATGGATTCATTCGAGGAAATGAACGCTTTCCTAGAGAGTGTCCTGCTAAATTGAGGCCGAAGGCTGATGGTCCATTCAAGGTTCTTGAACACATTGGTGAAAATGCTTACAAAATAGAACTTCCTAGTGATTATGGAGTTTTTATCACATTTAATGTCGTGATCTTTCTCCTTACCATAATGAAGAAGCAAGTCTTGAGGACAAGCCTTTTCTCCAACCCCGGAGGGAATGACACAGAATTTTGACCAATGCTGTGAAGTGCTAGGAAAGAATTAGCAGTCCAATTTTATCTCTTTGAAAATCTCTCTTTATCTAGTTTCCAACGCATCAAACCTTGCAATTTTTGGAGACTTGCCCTCTATTTGAGCCACATTATTTTTTTCATTATCATTATTCTATTCATTTTCAATCACACATTCTTCAATAAAATAATATTTTCCATCACATCAATAATTTTTCCTTCTTTTTCAACCACATATTCCTCATCACATAAAAAAAATGCATTATTGGACTCAAAATGTGCATCAAACAGAGGCTTATAGAGAAAGTTATGACAATAGATGGTCCTCAGAATAGGCGGGACTACAGAACTTTCAAAGTTTGACTCTTAATACAGTCAGGTTATGTTTTCAAGTGTTTGGGGATTGTAATTTTTAATTTTTAGTCAAGGTTTTTAATTTATGCATTTACCATCCAAATTTTCCTAATTAAAATCAGCTATCACTAATTGAATGGCAGAGGCTGAACTTTCCTTTGGCTTGTAAAGAAGAGCTTCTTAATCTCTTATCCTTCGGTGGATTTTGACGGGTGGCAAGTTTCTTTCTCTGTATCTTTTGCGAATGTCTTCTGGTGGTGAATTTTTTTGATCCCTTAGCCGTTCTTGCCAGAGTTTTTTTTTTGTCTAAAGAAATCTAGTATCATTTTCCACCTAGTAAACTAGTAGGAATTTAATTGAAATTATAAGTGAGGTTGAGCCTATTCCAAAGAGAATACAAGTGCTTCTTAATTGTGAGTATCTAAACTTGTTATTTTTTGTTCAATAATTCTTGCTTGAACAATATATCCATACATATGGGGTACGTTTGGCACTTGGGTTGCTTGGACTCTAGGTGTCATACTCATAGCAATGGTGGGTTTTTTTTTTTTTTTTTTTCCTTTCAATACGAACTTTTATTAAGATAATATTTCTTGGGATAGATGCATAGGCAGATCTACATGATGTCAAAATTTCATAAATTTTTTTAAGTACTTTTCTCCAAGAGTTAAGCTACATGTATTGGAATTTAAATTCATGTACCTGCCTGACAACACACATCATAGGTGGGTGGGGGGAGGTTTTTGGCATTATTTTAATCATGTGGGGCCACCCCTGTGTGAGATAAATTTTAAAATCCTGTATGAATTCCGTGCTCTTGGAATTATTCTTTCCCCAAATCTAAATTATACCCTTTGCCCCAATAGACCAATTCTTCACTCTCCCAATTTCAAGAAATAGACTTGGTATAACTTAACTGTCTGAGCTTGAGAACCCGGTAGGAATCACATGAGATCCAGTGAAGCAACTGCACTAACTGGATCTAGACCAAAAAAAAAAAAAAAATTGGTTTAATTTGGTTTGGGGTATTACACCAACAGGAAAAAAGAAAATAAATCAAAAGGCATGCATATGCTGACACAGTTTTGTGAATTTCATATTTCTTTAATTTGTTCTTACTTTTTGTCATAACTCAACAATTAAAATGAAAACCGAGCAGGTTTATAATGTTGCCTTCTCTCTTTCCATTTTCAGCTCCTTCTTCCTCTCTATTCTTTTTTTCCATTTTTTAGTTGTTACTGCTTGGCGCATGTTCACTTTCCATCTCTCATATTAATTTTATTTTATTTAACTAGAGTATTACAATAAGATATTTAATTTCTTATTTTTCACACCTTAGTTTATGATATTTTTATGTACGACATACAATTAAACACAATTAAAGAAGAAAATAATGTAATAAGAGTTTTAATTACTATGTAAAACATTGATTTGGTCACTCAATTTTTATTAGCACAACATGATTTTCGTGGCTTATATTGACTATAAAGTCTAAAGCTTAGATAAGTACATTCATGTAATTCGACAAATTTAAAAAGTTGTAAAAAAATCAAGTAGTAGGAAAATGACAATTTCGTTGTGTATATTGAAAAAATGTACCGAGGAAATTAATAATGAAGATAATATATGACATATTAAAAGTATGGAAACCAATAAGGAACAATTGTAAGAGATTTAATATTATATTTTTGTTTTATTTGAAAAAGTAATGATGTAGTTAAATTTTGTCCCATTGACACTAAATCATGTCTTCGCCCGTGGATAAATCAGGAGAATGTAATCGTATAGTCCTTTCGAAGGACCCTATTGGTGATATAATTCAACCACTGAATGCAACTCTATGGTGGTTTACGGGTTTATATGGTAGTTCAAGGATTCAGGAGACGCATTCATCTTGGGAATTACTACGCCGACCTTGTGACTTGCATGATTGGCCTTGGGTGTGCGGCATAGATTTCTCCCTTTTACAGTCCTAAAATAAACAGCATATCTTCTTTCCTTTTGACTCCTCTCTATATTTCTTCACACTTTGGCAGCTATTTTCCTTTGCTC